GAGACAGACAAAGCCTGCAGCCTCATAGAAGCCTGCAGGATCATAGAGCAACTTCCAGGGACCTAACAAATCACCTCGCCTTCGGAATGAGTCAATTGTGGTGATTTCAGACTAGCAAAGGGGTGTTAGTACTATCCAATGCCCCCAGATACAGTGATGAGCTATGCTGAGGCCTTCGTCGATCTGGTAGGAGTTCTTTACAAAGGTTGCTTGGGTCATTCTGGGGAACTGGTGTTATGGTTTGTGAGAAGAGCTTCCTCTTCAGGCTACTGTAGAAAAGGGAATGCAGCTGCTTGACAAGATCTCAGGCTGGGCACATGTTCAACTAGACACTTGTCCTAGGGAGGGGCATGGTAGCAGGGCAGCTCCTCAGACACCGTAGGTGGTGTACATCTGGAATCTCTGGCAAGGAAGCTGACGTTCCAGGGACTCCAGAAATGCTGGTGGGTGGCGGGCATGAGTCCTTCAGGAGATACTCTGGCTGTTTGACCTTCAGTCTGGGGAGTCCAAGGAACTCAGTGTGGGCAGCATGGGACTCATAGCAGCTGGCTTTGGACACATTGCCCCCAAGAACAACTGAAATGAAGTAGTCTTCTGGGTCACTGCTCTCTTTCCCTGCCCGTCCCTCCATTTTAACCTCAGCAATATTGCTTCCTTTCTTCTTCCCAACTATTTTTTAAAAAGAGCGGGTCCAGTTACCTGCCAGCCTTTGTTTTGCTGAGCCAAGTATATGAGTGATGTGTGACCACCTATATAGTCTTTCTCCACATCTCTCCACATTGTGTGTAACTCTTTCTCTAAAGAAACATTGAACAAATATTCTTTAAGCATTGATTTAATGAAGCATCAATCATTAGCTTCCTTGGGATCAGTATTTTGATCTGGCCCTTCTCTACTACCCTAAGAAGGAAGACTACCTAAGTACAATTGGAACGCAGAAATACTCTTGTTGCAGTTGAGGTCTGCAGCACAGCACCAAACATATAGTTCAACAAAGCATGAATCTGAAGATGTCAGATGGAGAGATGAGAGCAGGAATGAGGCCATGGAAGAGTGGTCAGCACACCAAAGACAAAGCAACACTGGCATGGCTGAACTATGGTAGTCAGATCCTCCATGGTGCTGGAAAACCCCCCTACCCACCATGGGCTAAATATAAAAATGTCCCATCTCCTCTAGATAGGGACCCTAGTAGAACTCAAAAGCATAGTCTGGCTGATGTTGGCACTCGATTGGTCAAGTAGAACAGCTGAGGAAAGGAGATCCAGAAGAAGGGTCCAAAAACTGTCTAGGAAAGAGCCAAGGCCAAGCCTGGAGAGGGCAATGGTGTCAGGTCTGAGCAATGACAAAAAGCAGATAAAGCTAGAAAGCTGGGAGCCAGGCAAATGGAAGACGAGGAACAAAGGCAAAAAAATAAAAATAAAAAAATAAGGGAAAAGATCTAGCTAGGACTTGTAAAGAAGGCTGAGATACTCAAAGTCCCTTTGTGTTAGGTGTAGACCTAACACAAAATAGGGGGCAACATTAAGCAATTAAGGATATAAGTGATACTGGGCGGCCGAGTGGCACATTGGTTAGGAATTGGCTTGGGACACCAGCTCTGAGCAGTAGGGCCCCGGTTCGGATCCCACATGAGGACCAGTGATGCTGGGCCCTCTACAGCTAAGATGGTGAACAATAGCTCAACCTGGAGCTGGGCTGCCGTGAGTCGCAGGTGAAGGCATAGGATGCAGCAGGACTGCAGTGGGCTGCAGTGAGCTACCGTGAGCAGCTGGCAGCCCTGAGAGCTGCCAAGAGACGCCGTGAGTGGCCGTCCAGTGGCCGGCGACCAATCTGCCTCACCCGGGAAGAGCGCAATGATAATACCAACATGGGCCAGTGAAGCGATGTCCTCCATAACTAGACTGAAGAACAAAAGGACAGCAACTTGTCTGTTCCCCTCCCCCAATTCCCCAATAAAATCTTTAAAAAAAAAAAAGAATATAAGTGATACTAACAGTAGTTATTTAATGGTAAAGGTGATTTTAATGACCATTTAAATAACAGTTGTAAAATACATTTGGAATAGTTGGGAGAATATAAATGTGTCCTGGATGTTAGCATTAGAGAATTGTTCATTTTGTTGCTGTACTGGTGGTATTGTGGTTAATAGGGAGAATATTCTTAATTTTTTAGAGCTACAAGATGAAATATTTAAGGATGAATGAACTGTCATAACTGAAATTAACTTTGAAATTGTTTAGCATTATGCATACATATACATATAAATTCAATATAAAATGTTAAAAAATATGATAAAATGTTAACTAGTTTTGTATTCAAGTAATGAGTATATGGCTGTTCAATGTACTATTCTTTCTACTTTCCTGTTTCATTAAGTATTTTTCTTAATACAACTTAGAAATAAGAAAGCTAAAGCGTTAATGTTTATAAATAGATCAGAAACTAAAATACAGCTATGTAATAAATGATTATACATATTAACGAGAAATCAAGACTGTGTGGGTGAAAATACATGATCAATTATCAATGCTCACCAGAAACATTTGGCTGAAGGTCTTTAACATAAAGAGACTTTGCAAAGTAAATCCAAGAGTTGAGTTGGCTGATAAAATAGTTTCTGAATTTCTCCAGCAGTTTCTTAGGTCTCTCCTGATTTCAATAATCTAAAATTCATTTGTAAATTCATCTATTTTAAGGACAATAGAGTAGTAATTTTTTTCTTCTTCTGAGCATTTGTATTTGTTATGTGAGCCTTATCATTTTTTGTCTAGCATTTTTAATAATATCATTGTAACTGCTTGATTTATTCCTCAGTAAAATTGCCACCTCTTTAAGGGTCATGTTTTAGAATTCTTGATTTCTCTATTCCACCTGCACATACCCAGCGAATATTTATTTATGGAAGATCTTCAGAGATTCATGGTGTGAATACATATGCAGAGCCTATAAACGCCAGCACCATGACCCAATTTATCTTTTGCAAACCATTATTTTCATTATAGGAGCTTGCATTCTGAAAGCAAACTCATCCACATTCCCAATGATCAGAAGGGCTCCACCATACTCTGGGAACCCAAATTCCAAGAATGCCTCCAGGTTCCAAATTTACCCCTCCTGTAATGGAAAATCCAGTGCTGACCTCTCCTGCTGAGGTGGTAGTTTCTAATTGCACAATATTATGTTCCTGTCCCAGGGCTGCAGGAACCCAGATACTCTTTTGGGCTCTCCTCTCTCCTCACTAGAAACACAGACTGTTCATTTAACAATTAGAGCTGTCAGCACAGCAAGCTGGCCAGAGAGACAGCAGCTTCTGTCCCAGGACAGGGAGCCCATGGCAGAGCCAGGACTTCAAGGCCTAGGGAAATACGAGTAGGTAGGACACTGACTCTTAATTTGTTACTTTCCCAGCACTTACATATTTGCATCTTGTATCCTGGCAAATGACATATGTATTAATTGCACCTATATGGTGAAGAGGAAAGTTAGACAGGAAGTGTATGAAGGAGGTAAGAATAAGAATGGTTTCCAATGGCTCAAATTCTAGGCGATGTTGCCTCATCCATTCATCACTCCTTTCAACACCTACCTACTGACCAACCATCTCTTCTATACCAGCTGCTGACCTTGGTGCTGTAGACTTACTGGTGAATGAGACATGGTTCTTGTCTTTGAGGGACACACAGTGAATGGAGAAGACCAAAATATAAATAAGAGCAACAACGGGTTTCAGACTTGATGAGGCATAGAGAGAACACACAAATAAAAATGGAATTAACTGTGGGTCTCGACGGTTTCCACATGCTCCATTGCCTTAAGGAGCCAAATTTCCTAACCATTTCAGCAAGCTAATACTGTCCAAACTTTGTCTTCAAGGTTTTCAATCTGACCAGGAAACCCTGAAATTACTTAAATTTTTATGGTACATGCTATCTGTGCATTTTATTTGGGCCTATAAAATGTGTTGAGCCTTTGATAGCTATTTAGGTGTTACATGTATATAAATCGTGTCTTCCTGAGATCCCTTACTTAACTATGGTGATTACCTTGTACTTTCACATAATGGCAAGCATAGTACTAATTATATAATAGCTACTCAATTTATATTTTGAATTGAATAGTTACTGAATTACTAGAATGCCTCTCATCTCTCTTTGTTGGATTCAGATATTCCATATGAAAAATGAAGAGAATTTCCCTGCCCTCCTTACCCACTCCTAGAATTGATGATCAAGGGCTCTGGTGAATGAACATATTTTATCTGGATGAGGGTGAATGATTAGTGTTCTCCCTTTCACAGAATTCAAGCTATAGATATCAGGGAAAGGTCAAGGGCAGTGCCCTTTGCTAATCAAGACTTGAGATGTAACTGACAGAAACCCAACCCTAAATTTGCTTAAGCAAAAGAGAATTTCTTGGTTCATTTAACTTAGAAGTCCGAGGATTAGTATTAGCTTCAAGCATGGCTGGATCCAGGTGTTCAAACAATGTCATTAGGCCTTATTTCTCTTTCTCTCAGCTTGGTTATTCTTTGGGGTAGTTTCATCATTAAGCAGATTCTCTTGACTGTGGTAAGAAAGAGGGACACATGCAGCTTTTGACTTTATGATTCTTACAATTTTCAGTTCCAGAAAAAGACAGAGCCTTGCTCTTCATTCATGATTCTAGCACATCTTATGTACCTAGTGACTCAGATTGGCTATGATTGAATTACACGCCCACTCATTTGACTAACTACTGAGGACAGTAGAAGAAAGCATCACAATTGTCTAGGCTAGGTCACCTTCCCACCCCTGCATTGGGAGATGAGTAAGGCACTGTGGTTGATAATACTACCAGAATCACTAAGGATGGGGAAGGGAAAGTTCTCCAAAGCAAAAAGGGATATTGGGCAGACAAAAAAATAGATAACTGCAGGCTTCTTGATCATTCTCACCTAGACCAGAAGCAGTGAGAATTCAAGTGCATGTATGGGCAGTGGAATCTACTGAGGGGCCATTATTTATCCTTTGGTGGATGACTGCATGCTGACTTTCCTTTCCAAATGCTGGTGGCATCTAACTGGCAGAAAGTGGGGTGACTGCTCCAATTTTCTCCTTACTAGTTCTCCTCTCCTATGCACACTAGGTGAGATAAATGGATTCCAAATAGGTTTAACTACTTGTCCTAACTTGTGGGAACTTATGGTTTATTTTATGGGTGGGTCAAGGCATGATACAGGGCCAGGTCACCCCAAAGTAAAGAACAAGTGTCCAGGTATGAAACAAATGGGAACTGTAATGCACAGAGGCTGTCTCAAAGTCCAATAAAAAAATGGGCCCTTTGGTTCACTCACATGGCTGGGAGTTGATGTAAGCTCAGTTAAGGCTATCAACTTGAGTGTCTTGGCTGCATTCCATATGATTTCTCCATGTGGCTTGGGTTTCTCCCAGCATAGTAATTGGGTTCTAATAAGAAGTATTCCAAGAAAAAGGAAGCAGAAGTTACCAGCTCTTTAAGGCCTAGGTTCAGAAGTTCCAGAGTATCATATCCACCTGTTGGTAAAAGCAGTCACAGGGTTAGCTCATATTCAATAAGAGGGGAAATAAACTTCACCTCTTGCTTTGTAGCTCCTACCAGGTAGCCCTCAGCTGGTCACAGGCAATGGCTGACCTGGGCCTGCACCGGAGCTCCTCCCAAGAGTCCCCAGAATTAATATACTTGGAGATTGGCTTCAGATCACAGTAGAACACTACCCAATTAACCCCACAAGCAGTACACATAAAGGGTAGTCTCAACAGGCACCAGAGCCCACTGGGCGAATCCCACTCTGGGGTAAGCTTCCTGCACAGCAGCCCATAAGCTGTGGATGTGGCCAAACCCCAGACAGTCAGCCTAAAGGTCAATCCCACCCACTGACATGCCAAGAGCAATCAAGTCTCAAGTATAACAGGAGGGCACACACAACCCACACAAGGGACATTCCCAGAGCACTCAGCTCAGGTGACCAGGGAGACTGTGCCACTGGGCCCCACAGGACACCTACTACATAAGGTCTCCTGGCCAAGACTGGGAGACATAGCAGATCTACCTAATACCATAGAAACAAACACAGAGAGGCAACCAAAATAAGGAAACAAAGAAATGCATCCCAAATGAAAGAATAGGAGAAAAATCCAGAAAAATAACTAAATGAAATGGAGGCAAGCAAAGTTCAGAGTTCAAAACAATGGTTATAAGGATGCTCAAGGAACTCAGGGAGAACTTGAACAAAGAGATAGGAAGCAGAGAAAAGGATAGAGAGGAACCGGCTGAGTTAAGAGCTGGCTTGGGACGCCAGCTCTGAGCAGCAGGTTCCTGGGTCGGATCCCACATGAGGGCCAGTGACACTGCCCTCTACAGCTAAGATGGTGAGCAACAGCTCGACCTGGAGCTGTGCTGCCATGAGTTGCTGGCGACGGCGTAGGTGCAGCCCCTGCTGCAGTGGGCTGCCATAAACTACCATGTGTGACTGGCAGCCAGAGTGAGCGGCCGGCAGCCGGTGTGAGCTGCCAAGAGCCGGTGTGAGCTGCCAAGAGCCACCGTGCGCGGCCATCCAGAGGCCGGCGACCAATCTGCCTTACCCGGGAAAAGCACAATGATAATACCAACATGGGCCAGTGAAGCAACGTCCTCCACAACTAGGCTGAAGAACAAAACGACAGCAACTTGTCTGTTCCCCTTCCCCTGATTCCCCAGCACTGTTCCCCTCCCTCAATTCCTCAATAAAATCTTTTTTTTTTAAAAAAAGGACAGAGAGACCATAAAAAAGAACCAGTCAGAAGTGAAGAACATAGTAACTGAAGTGAAGAATGCATTAGAGAGAATCACCAGCAGACTAAATGAAGCGGAGGATCTAATAAGCGATTTGGAAGACAAGATAGCAGAAAAGATCCAATCCTAACAGCAAAAAGAAAAAAGAATTAAAAACAACGAAGATAGTTTAAGAGACCTCTGGGACATCAAGTGTAACAGTATTCACATCAAGGAGTACTAGAAGGAGAAGAGCGAAAGCAAAGAATTGAGAACATATTTGAAGAAATAACGACTGCAAACTTTCCTAACCTGGTGAAGGAAATAGACATACAAGTCCCATAAGCACAGAGCGTCCCAAATAGAATGAACCCAAACACGCCCACACCTAGATACATTATAATTAAAATGGCAAAGGTGAAAAAGGTGAAGGGATTAAAAAGTACAAATTGGTAGTTAAAAAATAGTCGTGGGGATGTAAAGTAAAGCATAGGAATATAGTGAATGATATGGTAATAACTATGTATAGTGCTAGGTAAGTACTAGACTAGTCAGAGGAATCACTTCTTAAATTATATAAATGTCTAACCACTATGCTGTATATCTGAAATTAATATAAAATAATATTGAATGTCAACTGCATTTGATAAATTTTAAAATGGGGGAAAAGGGGAAGGGAAATAAGAGGTCCAAATTTCCAGGCATAAAACAAATAAGTCATGGGGCTGTAATGTACAGTGTCAGATGGTTGCTGGACTTATCATGGTGATCACTTCTTTAGGTCTATAAATGTTGAATAACTATGGTGTACCCCTGAAACTAATATAACATTTTTTTAAAAGATTTTATTGGGGAATTGGGGAAGGGGAACAGTGTTGGGGAATTGGGAAAGGGGAACAGCCAAGTTGTTGTCCTTCAATTTTAGTTGTGGAGGGTGCAGTTAGCTCAGCTCCAAGTCTAGTTGCCATCGGGCCACCCATCAGCAGCTCGCAGCTGCTCAGCTTAAGGTGCAGTGTTCAATCTTAGTTGCGGGTGGGTGTAGCCCACCATCCCATGTGGGAGTTGAACCAGAAACTTTGTTGCTAACAGCACATGCTCTAACCACTGAGCCATCTGGCTGCCTGTAGGCAGCTCAGTGGCAGCTCAGGTCGGGCGCAGCTCACTGGCCCATGTGGGAATCTAACTGGTGACCCTGTTGCTCAGAGCTCGCGCTCTGAACCAACTGAGCAACTCGGTGGGCCCCAACATTATTATGTTAGCTATATTTGTAATAAAAATTTGCTTAAATATATAGTCATGGGGATGTATAGTATAGGAAATACAGTCAATAATATTGTAAGAAATACGGAGGTGTCAGATGGGTACTACTTTTATTAGTGTTATCACTTTGTAAGTTATATAAATGTCTAATCACTATGTTGTACACCTGAAACTAATATAATATTGTATGTCAACTGTAATTGAAAAATAAAAAACTATAATAAAATATAATGTGGCATCCAGAAAAGAAATATTGAATGTCAGCTGTATTTGAAAAATAAAAATAATAAAAAGAAATATTTTAAATATTTTTCAAATTAAACGAAACAATTATATTGACAAAATGATGTTGTATTAGTAAAATTCAGTGATTCAAAAAAAAACATGAAAAGGAAGGCAAACGTGTCCAGAAATATCATTATTCAGAGGTTACCCTTATTAATAGTTCCTTCCACATATGCACCCATATACACAGATAGAATGATTGTATACATGATATTCCTTATTTCATTGGAAAAAATACCATGGACATATTTTCATGTTAATATATCTAGACTAACATCATTTTTAATATATGTGTAGAATTCTATTGTTTGTATGTATGTTATAATTTATTTAACCAGTTCCTTATTAACATAAACTTTTGTGTTATTTCCAATATAAAAGTACTGATATTAGCACTCTTGCAAATATGTATTTAGAAATTTGCATTATTCATTCTATAAGATAATTTATGGAAGTAAAATAGCTGGGTAACTTTCCAAAAGCAGCCATTACATAGAATTTTGTGCTAATCATTGTCTTGTTTTTCTTTATAATTTACCCCATTTGTATTTATTCCCAAATGCCCACGTAGAAGCTTTTAAAATTCTTGTGGTCAAATTTATCTGTTCTCTTTTATGATTTATGACTTTTCTTTTATGCTTTGAAACATCGTCACATTTATACGTTCACTGTATTTCTCTTTAGAAACAGTTTCAGTTTTTTACATTTAAGTACAAAAATAACCTGGAATTTATCCATTTAATTTAGTAATTGAGGTAGGAAATCCAACTAATTTTTTTTCCCCAGATGGCTAACCATTTGCCCCCACAGCATGGTCTAGAATAATCTGTTTCTTAAGGATAATACAATCCTTTTTCCTGCTCCCTTGTAGAAACCAAGATGTTGGTTCTGAGCTAAGCATGTAATCTAGTCATTAAGGACATTTCAATAACCCCCACATCCTTAGCCAAGTCTTTGTACATCTGAGGAAGGACCATAAAGGGCCACTGGCCTTCTTTTTCTCAGCAAGCCGGAATGGGAACAGCCTGTAAGCCAAGGAGAGGAAGAGGAGTTAGCAGTGCTCTGCATAATAATGTGAGGCTCTGACACCAGCATGAGGGTGCTCCAGAAGTTAAGAAACATCTTTTCATTTTTCAGGATTTGTACTGAATTAGGGGTCACGAGTGTCTGATTTAATAGTTCATTCTTTTGTTCATTTATTCAACAGATCTTTATTGATTGCCTGCTGTGTATCATGCACTGAGGCTGGGTTTCAGGCCCCACTTGTCCCTCTGACTCGATGCCCAACTATCTGCAATGGTTCTGGGCAGGGAGGATATCACCTGGAAGGTGACACTTGAGCGAATATCTGAAGGAGGTGAAGGATAATTGGGGGGACAGCATTCTGAGTAGAGAGAATAGCAAGTGCAAAGGTCCTGAGATGAAAATGTGCCAGGCATATCTGAGGAAAAGCAAAATGGCCCACGTGGTTGGAACGAAGTAAGCAAGGAGAGTAGTGACCAAAGAGGAAAGAACAGTAAGTGGGAATGTAGATATAGTGTAGCATCTTGTGGGCCGTTGTAAGAACTTCCAGTTTTACTCTGAGTGAGATGATTTGACGTCATTCAAAATGATTTCTTCAGTTGCTGGGTGGGAATAAATTGTAGGGGGGGCAAGAGACATGCAAGGGAGGCTGGGAAAGCAAGGGATGGTGGTGGAAATAGAAAAGGTGGTGACAGGGTAACTGGACTCTAGGTATTTTTTAAGGCAGAACTGACAGGGTTTGCTGCTAGATTGGATGTGAGAGGTGAATGAGAGGAGTCAAAGATGACCCTAATAATTTGGGCCTGGGAGACCGGAAGGATGAAGTTGCCCACTTACTAAGATGGGGAAGACATCTCCGTGGGAGGAGAAAGTTTAGGGAGAAGGTCAGGAGTTTGGTTTTGGACCTAAGTTTGAGATGTCTGTTAGCCATCCAAGTGGAGATAGATTTGTGAGTCTGAATTCCAGGAAAGAGGTCTAACTAGAGATAAGATTATGGGAGTTGAAAGTATACAGATGATATTTAAACCCACGGGACTGAATGACGTCACCAAAGGAGTGAGTGCAGTTGGAGAAGAGGAAAGGACCCCCCACTGGCCTTCTTTCTGTCCTTCAAACCCATGGAGCTCATTCTTGCTTCAGGTCTTTTCCAAGAATGCTCTTCCACTAGAGACATTTGCATGGCTTCCTCCCTCAC